TCTGCTCAGAGTGAGCAGAAGAACCTCTTCCTCGTCATATTTCAGGTAACTTGGTTTGACACATTGACATGTAGAGGGAATCAATACATCTCTTTCATTAAAAAAAAAAAACTTATTTTCAATTATAAAAGGAATGCATGCTTATTTACAGAAAAGTTTTAATAATACAAAAATTTACAAAAGAAAATGTTAGTATTTGGAGGCCACCATGTATTCTTAGTTCTGTGCTGTGTACTTAGTATTGAAATGTCTGTTTCATATTTAATTATTCCCTATTGTTGATTTAAATGATTGTTTTGCATCCTGATGACCATTTTTGYTCACAGTGTCCTCTTAACGTTTCTGATTATTTTCCCAGAATAGAGACCCAAAAGTAATATTACTAGAAAAATTTAGACATTGAATCATTATGTATTGCCCAAAAGGATGCACCAATTCAAATTATTACTGGTTTCCTTTTCTAGATTGACAATATTCAGTGAATCATGAGAGTTAGGAGTACACAGCTCAAAGACTGGGTGGAACAGGCCATACTTGGAAGTCTCTGTCATGAATTTGTTTCTGAAGTATAAAATTACCCCTCTAATACTTCATCTTCATTCCTCCTTTCCAGCGTTTTATCATGATCTTGACTGAGCACTTAGTACGATGTGAAACTGACGGAACCAGTGTATTGACACCATGGTACAAGAACTGTATAGAGAGGCTCCAGCAGATCTTCCTGCAGGTTTGTGAGGAACATTGTTTATGATAAATACTATATTCTCAGCCACAAAGGTTTCCTCACCAAATTTTCAAGGAGGTTATGTAGTAACCTGTAGGCCCTTTAGTTAATTTCATTTGCTGCTATTCTTCAGAATATTTAGGTTTAAATTGGCTTATTATCACATAGACTCCCAATTGAAATTTTCTATGCTAAGGATCTCAAATGTAATCTAAAATAAATTAAAAAAATAAAAGCTAAGCAAATAGTAATTGGTTTTATAAAAGTACTTAAAAATCTCATGTTCAGATGATAAACAGTGATCACAGAAGCAAGGTAAGCTGAGGTCTCTTCACATAGAAACCTGTTAGCACCTGCTCTCAGCTAGATTTAAGTTAGAATGTGGAGCTGATTCTTTGTAACTTCAGACATTAATCTTCATTTGTTTGTTCTAGAAAAATCATGAATGCAAAAGTCATTAGGAGTTCCTCTAGATTTTTTTCTTATTCACTACAAATTTAAAAAGTTTTAACCTGTAAGAATCCCTAAGTACACTCAAGTCCTAAAATATTATATCCTGACCAGTCTATACTAGTGATAGCCACACACAAGAGCCACTGCCACAGTGTGGCATCTTGAGTTACACTTTGGACAGGCTGGTAATGACTGCGTTGTTTAGAAAAGCTCTTGGACACCCCTTTTTTCACATCTCCTTGTACGTTTTCTTAATGCTGGGCTTTTGAAGAGTCTGTTATTCCCGTCAGCCTGGACTACTTGCCTTTTCCTACTTCGTCTTCTCATTTCACAGCATGGGTGGGCTGCTGAGGTAGATGTTCTCCATGATTATTTACTTGCTATGACTGACCTGAACACCACTTTTCTGTGTCTACAGCATCATCAGATAATCCAGCAATATATGGTGACCCTGGAGAACCTTCTCTTCACTGCTGAATTAGACCCTCATATCCTGGCTGTGTTCCAGCAGTTCTGTGCTCTGCAGGCCTAAGGGTCATATTTTTTTTTTCCCTCGTGTCAAGGTTTTGTTTTGTTTTGTTTTGTTTTTTAATATCTTAAAATAATTTGTCTTATTTTTTGTGGTTTGAAGGCTTGGTTTCTTATAATAGCCTTCACTTCTTAAAGGAAACAAAGGGGAAGAAGGACAATGAGGAATATGGAAGTACCTTTAATTTCCCTTAAAAAGCAAATATTTCTTAATGATAGCAATGTGACAAGGACCATGATGTATTATATGTGACAGATACAACTTTCCTGTGATCATTTGATATGTTTTTTCCTTACGGCACAAAACGACAGATTTGAGGTATGTGAAACACTAGAGGTCAACCTTGCGTTATAAAGTAGTAAATAGAACTGATGGGTTTATTACCAGCTAGCATAGCTTTTCACAGCTCATGGATAACCTGACATGGCTGAAATAAAACTAAAAGTATGTTTTTTAATCTTGGTTATTTCGTGATTTACCATCTTAGTTTACTTTTTAATAAAATTAATGATTTACTATTGAAGGCACACTTTGATACTGTTTGAAATTTTCTCTTCAAAATATTTTTCTTAAGTATTTTGAGATACTACTACTTAGTATGTAAAAGTGTTACTATTTTGAGTGGTGATACCCAAATTTGTCCATACCAACTTACCTAGGAATCTGAAGTTACTTTAAATTTAAACAATCTCCAGAGGTAGAAGCTGGACACCATCTTAAAGTTCTTAAAGCTCCCCAGTTGTTTCCAGTTGGAGAACCATGATCTTAGAGCATCAGGTCATTGCCTGTTGCCTCTGAGAGGGATTTGTCCAAGATCATGTAGCAAACCACATGCTAAGTGGAAATGGACACAGATTAGCTAAAACTGTATTTAGAATTAGATGTCAGCTTGGGTTTTGTCTCCATGTGTCTTGATTCAAATAACTAATTCCTGAGGTTTTTTTCCCTATGTGGTATTGAGACTTAAGAGCATTTTGTAAAATAATGTATCTGTATATAAGGAATTCTCTGACATTTCAAAGTTGTGGGATTTTTAGTCTTTTTTTCACTAAAACAATAATAATTCTATAGTTACTGGTAATATTTTTGTGCATCTGCACACCAAAAAAAAGTATAGTAACTTTTTAAACTTATTACATCCTAAGTGTATGATGCATTGAGCATTTTCCATGTTTTGATATATGGTCATATTAGTTTGCTATACATTTTGGTGGCTATGAAACAGTCCATTTAATAGATGGGAATTCCTAGGATTTTAAATACCATACTATTTAAGGAAGGAAATCTTAGGTATACTGTTCTTCCTTCCCATTGCTTTACCACAGCACACAGTATGTAGTTTCAAGTGGCTTTTGTTCACAAGAAGCCAGTGGATAACGTTTAAGGCTCTGATGACTTTATTTGATCTTAAACTGCTTTGTAATACTTCCACATTGCCTAGCATAGGTTAGCTAGCTATACTTGGTCCACATTCTAGAGACATTTGTAGATGTTCATGTTCATTTCCTTTCTCTTGATCCTCTTTTCATGTATAATGGTTGCTTCTAATAGTTCCTTCATGGATGGGACTCTGCTTTACCTAGTCCAACAGCTATGCATATGGAAAAACTGAACCTAGCAACTGAATTTTGAAGAAATAAAGGTGCAAGAGCAAACATTCAGCAATTGCTTTCCACACTAAGGAAGCTTACAGAGACAAAAAAATGGCATGTCACTGTACCTCCTATCTTGCAGTGAATCAATATTCTGTTAAATTGTACTGGTGCCATTTAACATGTATTTGTCAATATACTGATGACATATATTGTTTTTCCTAAAATACAGTTAGACCTGAAAGTGAAAGATGACATGAAGCCTTGTCAACCTGGGTAGATAGCTGGATACCAGGACTATTTTAAATTGATAAAGGAAAGAATGAATAGAAGCAAACCTCAGCTAGACAAATCTGTGTATTGGCCTAGATTAGTGCTTATTAACTAGTGGCAGTTATGTGCCAGTTGTTAGATTGACCACATTAAATCCTCACAGGAATGCTCTGAAAGATGATTATACCTCMCTTCACAGATAAAAACAGGCCTATGGAGAAATTTGCCCAAGGTGTCCACAGCTAGGAAGTGGAATTTGTACTTGGCTTCATCTGGCCCCAAGAGCTTTTATCGCCCACAATGCAGTAATGCTCTTAGCAACCGCCTGAACTGCTAGTTACTCTCTTGTCAAAGGAGAAGGTTTTATCCAATCACAGAAATCTGGCTGCCCATTGAGTTAGTTTTACTGAGCTATAATATTTAGTATAGCACATATGAAAAGCCAATACTTAAATACACTGAACATTCCTGTTTTTATTACGTAGAGAACAATTAGTAATTATAGCCTCAAGCACCTAATTACTTGGGTTTGAGTTGTTTTGACTTTGGTCTTTCTCCAGGCAAATCTAAGGAGAAAATAGAAATGTATGAGCCCTGTTTATAGTGACAGGATAAAAATCATGTCAGATAATTTGAAAAATATCCAGTTTATCTCAACTTGAATTTTTGTCTATAATTATGCATAGATCCTATAGTCAAACTACTTGATGATCTTTGAACAAGGTTAAGGGAAATTCCARTTAGCTAAACTTAATCCAAATGCTTGGGGTAAAGTGAGGTCCTAGGCTGTGATCTCCTCCCTTAGAAGCATGGAGGCTAAATAAGAAGTGCTATAAGAAACAAGTTGCCTTCCCTCCCAGGATCAAAATAAGAATACCTATAAGGCACTCAGCAGTACTTAGRTAAACTAATATCTTTGATCAACAGTCAGTTACTCAACCTTCAAAGAAGCTGCTTTCCATTTTAATTCAGCATTTGAGAAGAGCTGTCTGTTTGAACACTTATACGAAGGTCTATAGTAGTAAGCCCTTAGTGAAAACATGACCAGAATCCTGCAATTTGTTTATTCTTGCTGCTAGGACTTCTTCCAGCTTTGGCTCCTCAGGACTGCCTCACTGTCCTCACTATCCTAGAGATAGAAGTAGTCCTTAAAATCCTGACAGACTCTTWCAACAGTATACCACCATCCCTGATTGAGTCCAGTTCAGTCAACTTTGGCCTTTATTGAAAGCTCTTCTTTCTGCACCATTGGAGGGTTTGCTTTATCCTCTTGCTCCCCCATTTGCAGCTCTGACCTGCCGCTTTAAACCCATTCTACCATTCACCTCCTACTCTGATATGCTGCCCTGGACCAGACCAGCTGGACTGTAACTTTCTCTTAAAATGAAGCATTTTTGCAAGTGTGTCATTTATGAGGACTACATTATGGTGAATTCTGAATAAAGCCAATCTAATTTCCTTTATTTAAATATAAATTTCTGTTAAAAAATGTCAAGTGAAACTAAAAAAAATCACATTTTTTCATATGTCAGTTCATGGCCACACACAGTACAAGTCTTGCGGTACATGTCATCTTCTAAGTTTTCTTCTGGTCCATACTCATGTTGATGAGCAGTCAATTCTCTTTTCCATACACTGCTTCTTACTGCCCGGCGCAATTCTTTAAAAAAAAAAAAAAATTACAAAGTTTGTCAGCTGAACCCAAAAATAAATCCAATCAGACTTTCAGCCATGTCTGAGTATTTAAACCATATAGTTTAAATTTATGGCACATCAAAGTTGATTTCACAAACTTGGCAAGCTTTCTTACCTCCCTGCTTGGCTTGTGAAGTCAGTTGTTGGAGTAGTATGACATGAGAAATTGAGAAACAGGTATGTGGGACTAGGTGCAGTGGCACATATCTGYAATCCAAGTGGCTCGGAAGGCTGAGGCAGGAGGATCTCAAATTCAAAGCCAGCCTCAGCAAAASCAAGGCACTAAGCAACTCAGAGTGTGTTTCTAAATAAAATATAAAATAGGGCTGGAGATTGGCTCAGTGGTCAAGTGTCCCTGAGTTCAATCCCTGGAACACCCCCTACCATCCCCCCAAAAAAGAAAAGAAACAGGTATGTGGTTAGAATTATAGCAAAAGAGAAACAAGTGACARGAGATAGTGTTGACATCTGACTTTTTCCATGCCACAGCAGGAAAGGGGAATGTCTTTTAATCCAAGTTTACAAGTCAGGAACACTGCCTCTAAGAGGCAAGGCAAGTTTTTGCAAGAAAACTAGAAAGCCAAGAACTACCAGTAAAATTCATGTGTTGTGATCTTAGAAAAACTGGTCATGCAATTGATCACGTTTATTAAAAGTTCTTTATTTTACAAAGTGGCAGCATTAGTTTTGGGGGAAGAGTTGCCAATAACTACCACAAAGTACAACCTAAAAATTAGAATCACAGAGTATAAATAGCAGGGGAAAAAACTCCCTTTTTTTTTTTTTTAACTTCGTTTTATTTTGCAGGTGGGAAAACAGCAAAGATATATGTGAACTGAGGTTGTCTTATTCCAGTACTGATTTGTGCCACATCATACATTATGTTTAAGTCATTTTACCAAATGAGTGGGGGGAGATGCTTTGAAAAGCAACTTAAGGCTATCACTTTTTTAGAAGTTCACATTGCAGATTACCTGAAGAAGACACTTAGTACTCCACTTCAAATGTTTAAGTGGTAACTTCTATTTCTAATATAATGAATAAAAAGCAATGCTATACTTGTTTACATTTCTGTTCTCATCAGTGATCCAACCAGAGCTCATCAACGTCATTGACGGTGGTACTACCTATCTAAGAGTATGGGAGCTGTATTTTATAATTTCAGCCATAAAAAATATCCACCAATTATTCGCCTTTTCTTTAATCCATTATAGATCTGTGGTAAGTAGTACCAAAATACTACATGAATCTTTGAAATATCTGCTTTAATATGAGGGCTATATGCCAGGCACTGTTCTAAGTACTTTTAATGCATTTAATCCTCAAAATTATGAAAAAAACAAGGCAGAGAGAAATTATAAATTGCCCAAGGTCAAACAGCCAGTTGCTGKCAAATTATGGCCTAGTGTGGGGTCCACATTCTTAACCAGACAGACACATTGTGTCTCCAGGCATGAGGCCCTGAGAAAGGCACATCACTTTCGTATTATCACTCACCTAAAATGTTTTAATATTTTGGGTCCAACCAGCAAGAAATGACAAAACCCCAAGTGAGAAACTAAAAAGCCATAGCAGGAGAAGGGAAGAGACTTGTGACTTAGGAAGTGTTGATAATATAAAAGACAGGCTGTGAAAATCCAGAACAGGTTTAGAAAGACTTGGTAGCCAAAACCAGTATCGGATCTTAGAATGGACCCTGTTCTAAAGTAGAGCCAGTGAAAAAGACTAGAATGTAGATGGCAGTTTAGATAAATACTAACTCAATGCTGAGTCTACTCAAGTTAAAGATGTTACATGGTGATGTTAAGAGAATACTTATGTTAGGAAATACTTAAGGGTCAAGAGTGGTGATGTATRTAATTTATTAAATGGTTCAGAAGAATAAATATTCGTTTGCATATAGAGTGGGTGTGCAAATGACGACTGAATGGCACAGAGTATTAACAGATCAGCTGGGTAAGGGTGGTCTTTTGTTCTATTTCCCTAGCAGCTTTCTTCGAGTCTGGAATTATTTCAAAATTAAAAGTTTAAAAAGACAGGTGCCACTTTGTGGAGGACTCCAACTGGCCAAATTTGGGACAGTTTGAGTATCAAATGAATAATGATGGGACTAAGTACAATACACTGATTTGAGAATAAGAACCCACGAGGCACTCCAACATGTTTTAAAGGGAGAGAGGAGTGTGATGGGGAGGTAGCTCAGTGATAGAATACTTCCTAGTATCCCAAGGAAAAACATGACTTTTTTTTTTTCTCCTTTTTTTTTTTTTTTTTTAATGTTTTTTAAAAACAGCCTGAGGAGCTTGGTGTGGGGCACAGGCCTGTAATCCCAGAAACCCCAGAAGCTGAGTCATTAGGACTGCAAGTTCAGGACCAGCTTCAGAAATTTAGTTGAGACCTTGTCTCAAAAACCAAAGTGGCTGGGGACCTTGTCTCAAAAACCAAAGTGGCTGGGGATATCTCTCAGTGATAGACTACCCCTGGGTTCAATCTAATACTGCAAAAAGAATTTTAAAAATAAAATGACTTTAGAGAGATGATTTTTTTTTCCCAAAAAAGAGGCCAAATAATTGTAGAGGGAATGAAAGAAACAAAATTGCCATTATATCTACATCAGTAATAGCTGCCTCAGGCAAGACTCATCCCTGTATACTAAACATTGAGTAAAGCAGGAATGAAATTCAGAAATCACATTCCTTATATTCAGTGACACAGGTCACGGGTTCCTGACAGTGGAATCTAGCAGACAGCCTTAACTGTCAAACTGACCCCTTCAAAGAGAACTGGAAGCATGTGTACGCTGRGGTGACCAGGAGTGCTCCTGCCAGATCCACTCCACCTGAATCACATCAAGGAAATTGCAATCTAGGTGAAGGTATGTGGTGGACAAGAGCTGGCCTGACATTTTACAAGTGTCCGGGTATGAAAGATAAAAAGACTGAGGGACTGCATCAAAAGAATCCATTCAAATCCAATCCTATCCAAAGAAGGCATCATCCCTGAATGGCTCCTGGATCCAACAGTCAAAAAGTTACATTTTGAAACAGCTCAGGATCATTGAATGAGTATTATATACTAGATACAGCCTCACATTAGCATTACATTTCTTGAGTTTGTGATTATTTTTAGTTACGGAGAAAAAACATTATTTTTAGGAGAAACATGCTAAAGGATTTATAAGAATCACAATGTCTGAAATTAACAAACTGTTCTGCAAAATGAGTATATGTGAGAGTAAACTCGGCAAAATGTCAACACTTGGTAAATGAAAATTTTTTAGATTTGTAAGTTTTCTTCATTACTTCAACTTAGAAAAACAAAACTATCCGTAGCTGAGACTAGGAAGAAGGTAGAAAAGTRGGAATAACAAGCCTTGGGGGAGCATTGGGAACCAAGGCAGAGCGACACCCTGCACAGCCTGAAAGCCAAAGTGAAGCCAGAGAACAAAACAGGCTGACGCTATGACAACCCCTAGTACTGTTGGCCCAGAGCTTCACAACACAGAGAGCTGCTACCTCTCCTGGAAATGGGTAAAAATGTCCAAGTCAACCAGTCTTGCTATGATACCCTGAGGGATTGCTTACATTATCTCCAAAGATTTCCCCCTAACACTTTCTAGTTTTAGATATCTTAATTTGCAAAGAGGCCATCTGTATACAAAGAAACCTGATACTGCTTATGAAGCAAACTAAGAAAAGAATTAGTTGAGAGACATCAGATACTTCTAATAGTGGATGGAGGGCAGGAAGTACTGAGTTAGGGTGCCTCTTGTTACCTGGAAGGAAGTTATCACAAGATGACAACATACGTAGCTTTGRCCTTATTTTATCCTCCATCAACTAAAACCATTGAGTATAGGGCACTGTGTCCCTCAAGCTCCTCTGAGATAAACCCCAATAGTCATGAATATAACCATAAGCCCCACATGTACAACATCTATAACAGGGGCCTCAAAATGGAATTTTCTCACCCACCTCTTGGGGGGAAATACATAGTAACAATGAAGACTAGTTCATTTCCTTTCTTTTAGTGGTGTATCCTCTACCAGTACTAAGAAGAGGCTGAGTATAACTTGAAAGCCTCACCTCTACCTTACTGCCGGAAAAGAGGCCTGCAGACAAAACGTTACACCAACTCCAACTTTCATCCAGTATGAAGGTCAACGCATACTGCATTTTTAAAAATATTTTATTAGTTGTTGATGGATATTTATTTATATGCAGTGCTGAGGATTGAACTCAGTGTCTCACACATGCCAGGCAAGTGCTCTACCACTGAGCCACAACCCTAGTCTCACATACTACATTTTTTGAAATCCAGTTAAGCTAAGCAACAATGATGCCACCATTTCCACTTCTGCCTTCTTGGATCTAAGAGATCTATAATAAACCTTATCTTTCTCTATAACTAGCTGAATTCTCAAACTGCTAATGTCTAAGATCATACTCTAAAAGCAGATAAATATAATCTCTTATGTTCCTAAAAAGAAACTTTGTGCCAGCTGCTTTATTGATCAAAACAGAAGACCAAGAGGACTCAGGTTCTGATTTCAACTAAAGAACCTTTCTAACCTGATTTTATTCCTCTCCATTCTAAGCAAACTGCATGTCAGCTCCTTGCTTCGACTCTGTGGTGCCTAGTCAGGAGGATGGGCACATAAACACCATCCTCTAGAAGGAAGCAACAAGAAGCCATAATTCAAGAAGGCTTCACCTCTGCACACGGACACCCAGAGGACAACTGAGTAATGTCCACAGCATGGAGAGAACTCATGTTCATGTGCAAAAATAAAAATCTTATTTGTAGAGTCTTGGAAAATACACCACTCATGTAACCACTTCAAAAAGCTTCCTCAAAAGGCACGTTTTACTCAAAACAAGAAATGAATGGAAATAAACCAATTTCAAGAGGTCCAAGTCTGTGAAAAACTTAAGGGAAAATTTGAACTCCTCAAAGATGAGGAAAAYCCAGAGTAGTTTATCTGATGATTAACAGCAACTATTTACATTTCTTTAAAATACCAATGAAAATTGTGGAAACCTTTTTCAAAATTTCTGTTCACACTAGTATTTAAGTATATATGCTTGTTATCTTTTTATTTAAACTTTTTAGTCAAATTAAAGGAATTTAGTTTCCATTAGATAACATTTTGACCAAACCACAGAATTAGTATGTTAAAAAAATTACAAATGACCCTCATTTTAAAAATATTTCATCAAGCCAGTATGATGGCACATGCCTGTAATCCTAACAACTTGGGTCACTTGAGCAGAAGAATCACAAGTTTGAGGACAGCCTGGGCAACTTAGCAAGATCCTGTTTCAAAAATTAGGAAAGGGCTGGGGCTGTAGCTCAGTAGAAGAATGTCCCCAAGTTCAGTCCCCCATCAAAAAACTTAAATATTACATCACTATCGATAGAAGTTTCCAATGAATACCTTAGTTTTATCCATGTATACTACTGTCTGCACCAAATACCATCTGGACAGTGGTTTAAGGAGGCAGCAGCGAGGGACAAGTTGTGATTTCAGGGAGTTGGATTAACAGAAACCCTGAGCTAGATGGTTAACCTCTATGTCCTCCTCTTTCATACCCTTTAATATGCCTTTTCATTACTTTGTCAGCAGCCCCCCTTACTGGAGGGCTGGAGTAGAACACATAAAAGATTACAAAAAGTCTCTCTGAGTCCTCTCAATTGGTCCTTGCTGCTATCTGAATATCAAACTAATATTTAAGTGTATATGCTTAGTGCTGAGTGACTCATGGGAATGATTCCTCAATTAAATGCTCTTCTCTCGCATAATTTGCTGTAGAAAACCTTAGTACAAAGTCATAAAAGTGTGCTTATCTTCTATTCAGGAATTAATAAGTAACTATAATTTACATAAAGATGAATATGAAGATGTTTTTCATGAGGTTATCTGTCTTAGTAAACTTCATGAATGTACAACTTTTTATAAAAAATAAAATTTTAAGGGTCTATGCATAGAAAACAACTACATGGACATGAAAATAATGATTGTTTCTGGGTAGCAGAATAGGATAGAAGTTCTCTGTAATTTTCTACTTTTTTGCATTGTTCTTGAATTTTACAATGAAAATGGTGGGGTGGGGATGGGAGACTCACGATGAGAAGAAATAAGGATTACATTCAATTTGGGGTTTTTGTTTGTTTTTAAGACATCTGTGTTATCCCACTCACCCTCTAAAACMTCTTTGAAATTCTAAAAACAAGCAAAATTATTATGGCTAGCGCATTCATTTTAAATGGACCAATTTAGTATACGTATAACCCAAAATGTACACAAATACGTGCCATCCACTTTATTTTATTTTTTTAATATTTACTTTTTAGTTGTAGTTGGACACAATACCTTTATTTTATTTATTTATTTGTATATGATGCTGAGGATTGAACCCACGGCCTCACACATGCTAGGCAAGCACTCTACCGCTGAGCCACAGCCCCCGCCCCAGACACACTTTAAACACCTGCATGAAGAACATTTGTGTGTGTGTGTTTATTTATGGGTATCAGGGATTGAACTCAGGGGCACTTGACCACTGAGCCTCATCCCCAGCCCTATTCTGTATTTTATTTAGAGACAGGGTCTCACTGAGTTGCTTAGCACCTCACTTTTGCTGAGGCTGGCTTTGAACTTGTGATCCTCGAGCCTCAGCCTCCTAAGGCACTGAGATAACAGGCATGTGCCACTGCACGCCGTGTGTGTTTATTTCTTAAATTCTCTTTTTTAAAGATCCTGTTCTAGAGCAGGAAGAGCTTTCTGTGCTCCCTCTATTATAATTTGGAGTTTCTCTCCCAACAAACTGAATAGAGAGCCACAAACACACAGCTGCATGATGAGGAAAGACTGTACAAATGATGACTTTCAGAACAGAAAGGCTGGTTACAGTCCTGACTCATTTAACAAGTCATTTCACCTTTCTGGGTCTTTTAGTCATATATAAAATAAAAATGGTTAGATTAGCTGACATCCGAAAATTCCTTTTAACTGCGATGACTAAGATTTGGGGCACAATTTTTTCACTTTAAACAATCAGAGAGGTCTTTTGGTGAGCGTTTGTTTTTTAATACTGTTGATCATATTTAAGATTTAACTGACACCAAATTCTTGACCAGGGTACCATTCTCAATCCTAACACCATTCCTACATAAAATATGATTCATCTTAAAATGATGGCTTACATGCTTTTTGGAAATGCAGTTCTTTGAGGTTTAAACTGAGAACCTCAAACACCAATGTACTGAGGACAAACTTCCAAGTCATTTKTTTCAACCTCTAAAAAAACACTTTCCAATCTATTGGTGACATATCTTTAACAAGAAAGAATCCAGCTAAAGTAGTAAAACAATCCTTCATGATATAAAATGTAGCTACTTACCTTTTACTTTTTTATCAAACTTCTTTTGTTTCATTTTTTCTCTGTTTTCTTGTCTCACTTCCTTTGCTTCTTCTAGTGCTTCCTGACTACCCCAAACTTCAAGGGACCTCTTCACAATCTATAATACAGTCATCTGTAAGTTAGATGTGTGATTGAGAGTTGCAGGATATTATGCATTATAATTATCAAATCCATAGATACCAAAGAATGATCTAAATCAAGTACAAATGTTTTTTGAAATTTAAATGACTTTAACTATTACCAATAAGAAACAACCCTAATAACACATCTCTCTAACCCTGGAAACCCTTAACAGATGTATCATGAATTAGATTATAGAGAGAATAGCTGTCCTCAGAAGGACATGTGGTCAGTGGGTTTGATGAATCTCAGCAAGCTCACCAAAGAAGTCTGTTGACACATTAGCCATTTCAGACCTAAATCTGAGGTCATCTCCAAAAATCCAACCAAAGGAAATCACCAGTTACTACTATCCATCTCCTCCTGGCTCAGTACTGGTTTCCATCCACTTGACTAACTTCTCATCTGCAGAATATGAATTTTAAAAAAAAAAATTTGGTACCTATATGACCTAAAAAGTCTTCATTCTAGTTTTAAAACACGGGATTATATATTGGTACCAGGGACTGAACTCAGGGGCACTCGACCACTGGGCCACATCTCAACCCTATTTTGTATTTTATTTAGGGACAGGGTCTCACTGAGTTCCTTAGCCCCTCACTTTTGCTAAGGCTGGCTCGTGATCCTCCTGCCTCAGCCTCCCGAACAGCTGGGATTATAGGCAAGCATCACTGCACCCAAATTCTGTTACGTTTTTTGAAGAATAGTCCCACATAGTAAGAATTATGCTCAGGATACTTCTCATAATGTATTATGGGTAATATCAATTAATGTAGCCAAATCCAAAATTTCTTAACCTTGAAGGGATATATTTCCATTTCATAAATGCTAAGACATCACATTTTCTACATTTTAACATCTCTGTAAATGCTACATCACCAGTGTATGTAATGGTCTTTAATAACAATGAATCAAAAAGTGGATCAGATTGGGGCTGGGGTTGTGGCTCAGTGGCAGAGCACTTGCCTAGCATGTGTGAGGCACTAGGTTCTATTCTCAGCACTGCATATCAATAAATAAAAATAAAGGTCCATTGACAACTAAAAAATAAAAAGTGGATAAAGCCAGGCACAGTGGCACGTGCCTATAATCCCAGCAGTGGGAAGCTGAGGCAGGAGGATTACGAGTTCAAGGCCAGCCTCAGCAAAAGCGGGGCACTTAGCTAAGCTAAGCAACTTGGTGAGACCCTGTCTCTAAATAAAATACATTAAAGGGCTGGGGATATGGCTCAGTGGTTGAGTGCCCTGAGTTCAATCCTCAGTATCCCCCACCAAAAAAAAAAAAAAAAAAGTGGATCAGAAGAACTGTACTCTGAATGTAAAGAAGAATATCTTTCTTTTGGTGGTGGTGGTGGGGATCAAACCCAGGGGTGCTTAACCACTGAGCCACATCCCCAGCCCTTTTTAGTTTTTATTTTGAAACAAGTTTTCACTAAGTTGCTTAGGGCCTCACTAAGTTGCTGAGACTGGCTTTGAACTTGTGATCCTCCTATCTCAGAGTGACTGGGATTGAAGGTGTACACCTTCATGCCCAACGGTTAGGAATGGCTATATAAATCATTTGTACTTATATTTTCCTTTTTACATATACACAAACATGATATATGACAAGAAAACTGTAATCTAATGGTACTATTTCAATAACTAAAAACTAAAAATACCAAGTGATAAGAATACCAGACTCAGTTTAATTACCCACATTTTTTTTTCATTTTTAATGTTATTATTTAAAAAATACATGGTGACTCTCCTAATTGTGTAAGTACAATGAAATTCAGTCTGTTTTGTTTCACAATGTGGTTTTTAAATTTTATTTAAAGATAGGGGAATTTATACTTTATTCCAATTCAAATTGTGCTCTGAAGCAATGTCTCCCAGTATTTTCATATAATGGTACAAAGAGAATATTATTCAAGCATTCTGAAGCAGATACAGGAGGCTGCTGTGACTCTAGGTAACTGGCCTAAGAGCCAGCAGCTTCAGCCACGAAGTAGATAACTCCATCAGCCTGAAACCTGCCTGTGGCAGAAGAGGCAAGCCGACTTTCTTTGAGATATACTGGAGGCACATGGAAGGTTGGCAGTACTCCAGGTGGTATCCCCAAGAACAAGTTAGAATTTAGGCCCAGTAGGGTGTTTCTGGGGATATGGAAATGAAGTGTGACCCCTTTTAAACTTTTTTAGTTTTAGAATCATACTCCTAACATCACCCACCAACAACGTATTTGTTCCAAAGTGCCACAGCAAAAACCAAAGTAAGAAAACATTGTTATTACATGTTATTACATGTTCATGACAATGTGCAAAACAAGAAATCCTTTTCACTCTCTGTAAGCAAGAATGGAATTAATTACAACTAGTTTATTGTCAAAACTTCACCTAAATCAGTACTGAAAATTCACAAATATAATTCATTAGAGACCTGTAATTTTAAGTAGAGTTTCATATCACCCCATTGTGAATGATGAGGATTCTTCTTCACAATAAATTTAAGAGCTGGTTCTCTTTTTTCTAAATCACAGTCCTTCAGGAGGTATTCTTGTTTTGCTTCTGTTTTGGTAATAAGCTTGTGTTTCTCATCAGCATCTCTGAAAACAGATTAAACTCTATTATATAAATTAGTTATTTTAAATAAATTAAGTTTTCAAATAGCCCAGCAACCAAGGGGTATGCACACCAAAAAAAGACATAAAACACTTGTTCCTGCCTGAAACCCCCACGTTCAAATTAGCAGCTTAAAAATTCTATCAGAAAAATACTTATCTATTACTTGTTCTAAGATATTACATTAGCAGCAGATCCATGTAATTTAACAATTTAAAAATTTCTTTAAAATCCCTCTTATTCCAGACAGGCCTTGAAATGACTTGTTAGGGAAAATGTAAATGAGAACAAGACTCAATGAGAAAGAAAATCTAAACTAAAAAAGGCCAAGATGGGCAAGAAATAAGAAAATATAGGGCTGGGAGTGTAACGCAGTGGTAGAGTGCTTGTCTAACATGTGGGAGGCCCTGGGTTTGATCCTCAGCACCACATAAAGATAAATAAATTGGGCTGGGGATGTGGCTCAAGTGGTAGCGCGCTCGTCTGGCATGCGAGCGGCTCAGGTTCGATCCTCAGCACCACATACCAACAAAGATGTTGTGTCCGCCAAGAATAAAAAATAAATAAATATTAAAATTTAAAAAAAAAAGATAAATAAATAAAATAAAGGTATTGTATTCATCTACAACTAAAAAATACATATATATTTAAAAATAAAATATAAAATGCTAGGTCCTTTGCCCTCAATATAGCTGAATTTCCAGCTGGCCCTGAGCATTCCCAAAAGCAAGGCAAAAATAGAGACAGAGGCAATTACACAGTTCTTCTCATTCATTTGTTCTCCATCTACATGCCTGGTACATCTACATGCCTGGTACATGTTCAAAGAATACAGCCATGTTTTAATGAGAAATAAAGACTTGTTTTAATGAGGCTTCCATTCTAGTTAGAAGACAATCAACAAATATAATGACAGGTGAAAGTGCTGTATGAATACAGATCACAGTGAAGGAACAGCAATGTTCAGGTAGGAGGGTAATCAGAGGCCACTGATGATGGGACACCAGCAGAGCCCTGATGAATTCAACAACCAGAGAAAACCTTCCTAGCAGACAGAAGCATGAGAGCAGAGTCTCAGGCAGGAGGGTACTATGCACTAGGAGCTCACAGGAACAGGCGCCTGTAACCACACGCTGAAAGTGATTGACTGTGAGGAGTGGTAAGAGGTAAAGCCAGACACACAGGGGCCTTGCAAGCAGTACCAAAGACAAYGCTATTTTCTAGGGGTGCAAAAGTTGGGAGGCTGGGAAGAGACCAGTCAAAAGACCACTGCAGAGTCCACACAAGCACTGACAATGGCCTAGACGAAGGCAGCAGTGACAGAGGTGAGAAGTGATGGATTGAGGATATGGTTTAAAGATACAGCCAAAAGGATTTGGAATTAAACAGGACAGTAGAGACATGCCAACGAATGAAGCTGGCCTTCACCGAAAAGAGCAGATAGAGGTCAGGGAGGAGAGAGACCTAAGGTTCTAGCAAAGGATTCTATCAGAAAACCAATGTAGAATTAGGAATAACTTTAAGAAAKCTAAATACTTTATAAACAGAGGGAGAGGATACATAGATTCCTCCATACAAAACATAATCTTTATAGATGTTGAAAGGAAACAGAACTTTATGTTAAACAAAAGAATATTCTTTCCAGACTACTACATAATTCTCTTTATATATACATACATACATACACAAAGATTGCTGAATTTATTGATTTACATATATCAATACTAATGTAATCATTGAAAGAGAGTTTCAAAGAAATATAATGTGCATAAAGCCATGATATTAACTCTAAAATAAATGTTGTTAATCATTCCCTATAGATAGCTACATTTTCTATTGAATAACAGAATAGAAAGCACAGAAAGACTGAAAACTATTCAAATTGAAAATATCAAAACATTGTGACTTAAAATGTAATCAGGTATTATTTTTGTTATTCTTTTTAGTTATATATGACCGTAGAATGTATTTTGACATACATATATGGAGTACAACTTCCCATTCTTCTGGTTGTACATGTTGTGGAATTACATTGGTCGTGTATTCATATATGAACATAGTATTCATAAATGAACATGTCTGATTCATTCTATCTTCCTATTCCCATTCCTCCTCCCTTCTCTTCATTTCCTTTTGTCTAATCTAAAGTACTTCTATTCTTCCCTACCCCTGCTTATTTTGAATTAGCATCCAAATATCAGACACAATTCTTTAAATTGATACAACAGTTGCTTCTGTTTTCTCATGGAAACAAAATTACATGTGGTACTTCAGTTCCCCAAAGCTACAGTGGCTTTTAAGTAAAGTGATGATAATACTAGACCTTCACCACTGGGTCAGCAGGAAATGGGTTTATAATTGATGGTCCCATCTGGAATGCCAGACAGAACATGACCAGCTACATATGTACCACAAACCAAGGCCATCATCTCCCACCCTCCATGCACTGAGGATTCCACTCAGCAACAAGTCAGCCATGGGGGCTCCAATGTCTGTAGCGGGACCCCCCCAGGGCGGGTCCTCTAGTTGGGAGATGATCTAGGGCTATAGGTACCAAGCTGGATCAGGGAAAGGTAAGAGCCAGAGAGTCCACGACAGGACTTTCCATGTGTGAGAGCCTTCAACATGGGAGCAGCTAAGTCAAGACAGGAAGAGGTTGTGGCATAAGAAGCATGGGGTACTGAGAAAAGAGGATGGAGGCTAGGAGAAGAAAAAGAACGATTGAGGAATGTGATTCTCCCTTGTCTGTTCTCTTCACGAGAGGAGCAAAAGATGAATAAAAAGAGGTTTTCTGAGCCACTCTTCTCTCATAGCCCTCTGACCAAGGTAACTACACACTGGGCTAAGTAAGAAATAAGTAAGAAACAAGGATGCTTGGGGCTGGGTGAAGACAAGGGTTAGGAACCCGCTAGTAAGAGATAGGGAAGCAGGGACCAGGACAACAGAAAGGAAATTTCCATGACACAACTAGGTTCACATCATAAGCTTTGATCAACACAGACTTCCTGTATTTCTTTGGCAAAATGGAAACCTTAGAAATTTTAGGGCCCCCAAAATAAAAATCATAATTACTAAGAAAAATTTCAAATCCAAACATATAACCATTATTTTTCCCTAAACCTATACATAGACGTGAAATTACTTAGCAATTAAGAACATGAAAAAGTACCTGCAGTTATCACAAGTTGCCAAATCAAAGTGTTTCATAAGATAAGAATCCATAAATTCTTTCCCACATTCTTCACATATTACATAATCAAATTCCATAACAGGTCCTAAAGAAAGGAAGATGAATTCCTGTAAGTTTCCTTTCTTGTGAATTTGAACAAATAAATTTTTCTCTCTTTTAATAGCTTATCATGTATTTTATGCCTGACATAAATACCTTTAAATAAGAGACAAAATAAAACTTTGATTAAATAATCTTATATTTATTTAAAAAAAAAAGAAACAAAATAATATGGTGGGGTAGTGGGGCTGGGGATGTGGCTCAAGCGGTAGCGCGCTCGCCTGGCATGCGTGTGGCCGGGGTTCGATCCTCAGCACCACATACCAACAAAGATGTTGTGTCCGCCGAGAACTAAAAAATAAATATTAAAAATTCTCTCTCTCCTCTCTCACTCTCTCTTTAAAAAAAAAAATAATAATAATATGGTGGGGTAGTCTATCAATCCAACAGTATTTCAGTTTGGGTTTTTTTTTTTGGTACTGGGGATTGAACTCAGGGGCACTTGACAACTGAGTTACAGTCCCAGCCTATTTTGTATTTTATTTAGAGACAGAGTCTCACTGAGTTGCTTAGCACCTCACTTTTGCTGAGGTTGGCTTTGAATTCGTGGACCTCCTGCCTCAGTCTCCCTGAGCCATTGGGATTACAAGCGTGGGCCACCGCACCCAGCTCAGCAAGTATTTCTGGATCCCAACCATATGTGCGATACTTGTATTAGTGTTAGGTTGCTGCGCTAAGAAATTATCACAAATTGAATAGCTTAGAAGAACACAAGTCTATCATTTTACAGATCTATACTTTCACTAAAGTAATTTATGGATTCTGACAGGGCTCAGTGGACCAAAATCAACGGTCTATAGGGCTGAACTCCTCTCTGGAGGCTCCAGGGGAGAAACTCCCAGCTCCTAAGAGGGCAGCTGCATTCCCTGACTCAAGACCCCTTCCTCTGCCTCACACCAAGACAGAGGATCTCACATGGCATCATTTGGTCTTTCTGTGACCACATGCCCTTAGCAAGACCTGGGATTACAAACAGCCTGCCTACTATCCAGGATAATCCCCAACCTCAAGGCCTTTAACTTGAAACATTTCTGTAAAGTCCCTTTTGCTTGGTGAAGTCACATATTCACAGTCTCCAGGGCAATTGGAGCACGGACATCTTCGGGAGCCATTATTCTGTCTGTACTGTTCAAAGTACAAAGCAGATTAGTCCCAAAATAGGAAGGAGAGGAAGGTACACACAGGGGTGGCACCCACATATAACATGGTTTAGAGCAATAAAGAGCAAGGGAACAGCAGAAGACTGTCAGTACAGAATTCGTTTCCAAATTTTTCTCTCCATTTCACCCCTATCAACTGAACAAACAGCTCCCTCTTTAGCTGTCTCAACTACTAGATTATAAACTCCTTGAGGGAAGAGATCCTATTTAACTAGGCATCCTCAACACCCAGCACAGAAACTTCTCTAGGTAGAGAAAAGCTAAATTTTTTTCTTACTTTGGTGTTTACACTGTCTCAGAATTAGCCAGTACCTCCTGTGTCCCTGTAACACACCTTCATCATTTTTGAACGCTTAACATATTTTCTGGCATTATTCTTGTAATGGTCCAAACTCATCTTGYAGCCATGTGCCCAAGCCCAGAATCAGCTTTTTCTCTGAAAGGGCTTGACTCTTTAATGGGAAATTAAGAAATATAATGTGCTTAAAACCATGATATTAATTCTTAGTGTCCARGATCTGAACACCAGGTGTGTTCACTGATTCTGGGGTCTCTTTGGTCCAAGGCCCTTTGTGTGGACAGAGCTAGAAAATATACACATGTATAAACACAAACATACAYATACACTTATGCATGCACAGACRCACACACAGACATATTCACTGSTATGACAGTTTTCATCCACCTATAGGATTTGTTCTTCCCATCTCCCATTCTATATTTGTATAATTCTTCCACAGTGAAAATTCTGACTCCCAAAAACATCAAGACATTTATTTATCTTCTTGAGCCTATCATACTTTTAAAATACTTCCCCCATATCACTCTATAATATGAGCTCAGAAGTTCTGTGGTTCCCCTGCTCCCATTCCACCCTCACAAACTAAGAACATATAGTCAGATACTGTTTACAAATGACTTGGACTCGTTCTTTTTGCCTGCTCTTCCCCTGCAGCATGGTCATGTTATTCATTTGGAAAAAGAGTTAAGTAGGTCTGTTTATTTGCTTTTAGTTTTATTTTGTTGACTCTTTCTATCCTTAATAGCTTAATCTTCTTTATTATTATTATTATTGGTATTAGGGGATTGAACCTAAGGGAACTTTTAACCACTGACCCACATTCCCAGCCTTTTTCATTTTTTTATTTTGAGACAGGGTCTTGCTAAGTTGCTTAGGGCCTTGCTAAGGCTAGCCTCAAACTTGTCATCCTCCTGCCTTTGCCTCCTGAGTCACCAGAATTACAGATATGTGCCATGATGCCCAGCTTAACTTTAAAAAAAAAAAAAGTCAAAACTTTTCAGAAATATAACTTCTTCAGTCATTCTCTTGCTATGAATCAGAGATCTGTACAAAAGTTCACCTTCAAATATATACACTATAGCAATAATTATTAGAATAGAGAAAACAATAAACAAAATGGGCTGAATTTAAATGAATCATCATACCGCCATAAAATGGAATATTATTTAGCCACTGAAAAGCAAGCTCTTTAAAAATATTTTAAAATGAGAAAATACTCTCAACATTTTTATAAAAGACAAATACTGGACTGGGGATGCAGCTCAGTGGTAGAGCACTTTCCTAGCATGCATGATGACCTGGGTTCAATGTCAAGCACCCCCCCAAAAAAGAAAAATATTACATTCTCATTCACATATCAAAAACAGTCTCAAAGAAAATATATCAAAATGACTGCATAGGTAGTTAGTGTTTAATGGGTACAGAATTACATTTGGGGATGATAAAAAAAATTCTGGAGATGGATGGTAACAATGGTCATACAACATCATGAATGGAGTTAATGCCACTGAAGGTATAGACTTTTAAAATGGTTAAAATGGTATAATTTTATCTTACATATATATATTTTATCACAAAGTTTAAAAATAAATACTTTTTAAAAAAGATAACATGAACAGTGAATGACCTATACACTTTTCTCCCCAGAGTGGTGGGGTGCATTCCTCGACGGGGATTTCATCTTCTAGACTGAGGTTGTGGCCCCTGGGTCAGCAGCAGCATCTCCTCAGAATTGGATAGAAACTGATTCTCAGGCCCAACCTCAGACCTACTAACTCAAAAGAAATTCTAGGGATGGTCCAACAATCATTTTAACAAACCCTTTCTGAGGATTCTGAGGATCCACTCTTCTAGATCCTAAAAGTATCAAACTTTGCTTTATAGACAGCAAGACTTCATGACCAAAATAAGCTGACTTTTCTCTATGCTAAAGAAACAGACTACCTTTCAAAATTAAYAACAATAAAAATGGTAGAACATTTACTGCTCATCTCCCTCTACCCATGTTGGTCAGTCCCTGTGCATGACCATCTGGCCACAGGGGCAAATGGGGCCAAAATGCCACTCATGACCACTTGTTAAGCCATGAGCCCAGCACCAGGCTATGGTGGTCCATGGAAAGGGGAGCTTTTTCTAATTTGTCACTCAAAAGGGACACCATTCTAACTGGCACTAATTCACTACCAGAGTCCTTTGTGCCAGCAGCATGATATTGGTGCATGAATAACAGCAATGCTTAATGCCACATGCATATCCTAGTCAAGCAACAAGACGCTGTAGTAGGTTCTCAGTAAATATTCACAGCCTGTTAAATGAAAGCATAGGCTTTATAACCCATGGTGGACTCAGGAATCTATAAAAACAGTTATAATGAGTTCATATCCACAAAATCATGAAGTCCCTGAATTTAATGTGTTCCCTCCTAAAGCAGGACTGCTTCTCTACAATATTGTGGTCTTGGTCAAATTTTTCAATCTCTGAATCCCTCTAAAGCTTCACTATTAGGAGGCAGCAATCCACATGGCTAGGATGTTTCTCCATTTCAGGTCACTGTGAAACCCACACGATACATATACCAACACTCTGTAAGCACCAACTGCTAACTACACCTAAGCTGCACCTTTAATTTACTGAAGTCTCCTTCTCCATAATTGTCCAGCCACTGTTTAAAGTTCTGTCTTCCAAAAACAAACCCCACAGTAAGTGTAACCTCTGTGTCCCAAGAGTATTGCAAGAAGAACGAAGTATTCTCCAAGTTAAACCTAACCAGTTTTGACAAGTGTTCCTCATATGTCTATTTCAAGATTTCCATTCCAGTCACCTTACTTCAGACACTATGCACTTGCCTATATCCTGCTTAAAATAACAGACCCAAAATAAACAAACATTTTAACCCTTTAAGCCTCAGCTCCTGAAAATAACAATTTAGACACACATGGAATAGGACAGGGTTACTACCATCTATCTTTGTGAATAAACATTTCTGTTGCTTTAGCTGAAGATGGACTAGTTCTCTCAAGCCTCTATATTACACTATTAGCTATCAAATTGAGATCAATAAAATTTCTTATCTGTTTCAGAGTTTGAAAGTATTTCTCACCCTAAGAATATGTGTATATATAACTGATATATCAAAGCACTGACTTTAGGAGTAGATTTATATCTTTCTATCTGAGATCTTCCTCTACTTTGTAAATTGTTTTTTCTCTCCAAATATACATAAAAGAACATCCTAAATTTTATCTCTGTGTTCTGGATCCACATTTCAGCCTATCAAGACTTTTTATTGAGACTGGGTTTCACTGTATTTATTGTCCAGGCCAGTTTTTGAACTGGTCTTGTGCTCAAGTTATCCTTCTGCCTTGGCCTCCTGAGTAGCTGGGACTACAGGCACTTCACTGTGTCCAGCTTATCAAGATAATTTTGAGTATTTATTTTATCTGTCAACATATTGCCTGTAGCTGCCTATTATATAACAATAAAGAATATCAACCCCTATGTACTCAAACCACAAGTTAAATAATAATTTTCAACATATAAGTGTTTCTTTGATTTTTAAAACTGCCAAACATTATCACTCTTATAAAATGCTCACTRATCAAAACAAATGTGGTGTTATTTGACATCAATATGCAAAGAATTATGCACGTTACTCAAAATAACTAATCTAGATTTTTTTTTTCTGCAAAACTCATACTTTACCTGGTTGATGAACAATGTTTCCAATTTTATGTTCTTCTTCTTCTTCCTCTTCTAAAATAAAGCCTCCTTTTGTGTCAATTATTTTGGGGGCTGCTTTTACATTAGCCACACCTAAAAAAAGGAAATAAAAGTGGTTATCAATTGAATTAGGTAAACCATATGTTCCTTGTACATAAACAGAAATTTTCTTTAAATTTAATATACTCAAACAATACATAAATGTTCATATCACCACTTCTATTCAAATCTGTACTGAAGGTCCCAGCTAGTGTACTACGGTAAGAAAACCAAAAAGGCATAAAGGTTGAAAAGAATGAAGTACAACTGTACTTATTTGCAGATGATGTGATTATACATATAAAATATCCACAAGAATATTAATTAGAATTAAGAAATAACAATAATCTAAGAAGAAATGTATAAAACCTCTAAACTGAAAACTACAAAACACTAAGAGAAATCAAAGACAACCTAAATAAATAGAGAAATAGACCACATATGGATCGTGGTATATTGTAAAAATGTCAATTCTCCCATTAATCTACAGGGCCACAGTGCTCAGGTCACTGTGGGATATGTACATCAGTGGGATATGTACAAGGGTGCTGATAATCTGACTCTAACAGTTATATGTGAATAGAAAAAACCTAAAGTAGATAAGAGAACCTTGAGAAACAAAATTGGAGGATTTTTACACCTTCATTAATTAAGACACTAAGGTATTGCCACAAAGATAAATAGGTCAATGGAACAGAAGAGAGAGACCTGAAATAGACCTATACAAACTTGGTTATTTAATTTATGACGAAGGTTCTTAGTGGGAAGAGGATAATCTTTTTTTTTTTTTATTGTTGGTCGTTCAAAACATTACATAGTTCTTAATACATCATATTTCACAATTTGATTCAAGTGGGTTATGAACTCCCAATTATACCCCGTATACAGATTGCTGAATCACATCAGTTACCCTTCCATTCATTGACAAATTGCCTTTCTAGTGTCTGATGTATTCTGCTGTCTGTCCTATTCTCTACTATCCCCCCTCCCCTCCCCTCCCCTCCCCTCCCCTTTTCTCTCTCTACCCCTTCTACTGTAAATCATTTCTTTTCAATAAATGGTGCTGGGGTTTATGACAAAAGTGCCACTGCAATGCAGTCACGAAAAGATGCTCTTTCAAAGAATGACCTTTGACCCTATTTCAAACAATACACATTTTAAGAACTTTAAAATTAATTGTAGTAATAAATATGAAAGGTAAAACAATAAAACCCCTATAAGAACAACTTCATAAACTCAAGGTAGCTAAAAGCTTCTTAAACAGAACACAAAAAGACTAATCATAAGAGAAAAACTGTTAAACTGGACTCAATTAATTAAGAACTTCCATATATTATGACACCATTATGAGAGTGACAGACAGAAAGCAAAATGAAAACTATGATATGCAGTATGTCTAGCTGACAAAGGCTGCACATCCAGAATATATAATGAAATCCTAGAAATCAGCAGAAGACAAATAACACAACTTAAAAAAATAAGCAAAATACCTAAATAAACACATCACAAACAAGGAACGGCCACTAATGGAAAGGTCTTCATCATCATTATCCACCAGGAAAATGTAAATTAAAATCATAATTAGGGGCTGGGACTGTGGCTCAGCAGTAGAGTACGTGCCTAGCAAGGGCGGGACCCGGGTTCAATCCTCAGCACCACATAAAAATAAAGGCATTGTGTTGTGTCCTTCTACACCTAAAAAAATAAATATTTTAAAAAAACATAATGAAATATCACTACACTCTCTCTAGATCTCTAGAATGTAAAAAATTATCAGTTTCTTTCTTTCTTTTTTTTTGGGCGGGGGGGTACCAGAGATTGAACCCAGGGGTGCTTAACAACTGAGCCATATCCCCAGAACTTGTTATTTTTTATTTTGAGACGGAGTCTCTCTAAGTTGCTTAAGGCATCACTAAATTGCTGAGGCTGGCTTTGAACTTGCAATCCTCCTGACTGTCTCCCAAGCCACTGGGATTACAGGTGTGTGCCAACATACCCAGCAGAATGTCTAAAATGAAGACTGACAATACCAAATAGTGAGGATGTGGAAGTGCTAGACTGTCATACTCATATCATTGCTGGTGAGATTATAAACTGATAAAAATCACTATTTGGCAGTATCTGCTAAAACTGAATATATATCTTCCTTTAACCCAGCAATTCCATCTCTAGGCATATGTATAATAGAAATTAGTTCATAAGTCCACTAAAAGACAAATACAAGAAGGTTCTCAAGAGGATTTATTCCTTATAGCCCCAAACTGGGGGAAAAAAATCCATTAAAAGGAAAAATGGAAAAACTGTGGCATAATACAAAAGAATGTCATACAACATATAAATGAACAAACTAATAACAATGYAACAAAATGAATGACTCTCTCAGATGTTATGTTGAGCAAATGAAGCCACTGTATGATTCCACTTAAATTAAGTTCAAAAATAGAAAATGCCAACCAAATCAACAAAACAATAGTTACTTCAGAGGGAGGGGTCTGACACTGACTAGGAATGAACAACAGGGAAACTTCTAAGGTTCTGGAAGCGTCTTGAACTTTATCATTATGGGGTTTTCATGAGCACACATCCAGGTAAAATTCGGAGGACAGCATTTTACATATTAATGAACTACACCTCAATTTTTTAAAAAAGTCAAATTTAACATGTATGCTTAAGTCACTTGCCTTGTCTGGCCTCAAATTCTCCTTCTATTAAATGAAAAGATTAGATTATAATAAGCCTGTTGCTACTGTTAATAGCAATTCTCACTATACAATATATTAGACTGAGTGCCTTTATATCTGTCATTCTGACAAACAGTAAACATCTGAGTATCCACTGGATGAACACACAAGGAATAAATGTTCCTAAGTGTATTATTTTTATTTCATGAATACTGTAGCAAGTGAATTGAATGACCACAAGGGCAATGTGAATCAAGAGAGGAAACTGGAGCCGAGCATGGTGGCACATGCCTATAATCCCAGTAGCTCAGGAGCCTAAGGCAGGAGGATCACAAGTTCAAAGCCAGCCTCAGCAACTTAGTGAGGCCCTAAGCAACATACAGAGACCCTGTCTCAAAATAAAACATAAAAAGGACAAAGCAGACTGGGGATGTGACTCAGTGGTTAAATACCCCAGCTTCAATCCCCAGTACCAAAAAAAAAATTAAAAAATAAGGGGAGTTGGAGTAGTTGATGTCCTGACTTCAGCAGGATTCTACACAAGGCTGAATTCATGCCCAAAATGAAGACCAGTCTCTGCTGCTACCCTTACACCTTCCCAAGACTCCGAGCACCACTTTACAACCACAGTCTAAGCAAGCGCTCCTCAATCTTTTTCAGAGCATGTCACAGAAAATAAAAATTGTTTTATACATTGAAATAAAATTACAGCAAAGATAATTACAGCACCTGCATACTCTGGAGGCACGATGGGTTGCATCCGCTGCTACRACACAAGTCATCTCTGGGGTAACCGCCTGAGAAATCTTTGTATGATTTCATTCTACCTTGCTTTCCATGATCAGAAGTTTAATATCAGTTTTTGCTCTCTACTTATACCTGGTTTCATAGCCATGTAGAAACCTTTAGGAAATCATGGATATGAATTAATCAGTGCAAATAAACTTTTATCAGTGATGTAAAACTGACTCTTAGAGACTTAAATGGGACTTTGGAAAGCATCTAACATAACTCAATTGCTTTTTAGAGGAGGAAGGCCCAGGATCACTCATTGCCTACAACAAATCCACCAGAGCTCAGAGATCTCTCTGAGCTCCCAGGCGCATCTGAGGTTTACTAGAAATGGGATAAACACCACAACACAACATTTCTGATATAAGATGGGTGGTTTCCACACACACCCAGCAATTCTCTGTTGAAAACCAACTGGGTATCCTAGAACTCAACTCAATTCTGACACTATCTATCTAGAGTCAAATCCTACAAGATGAGGGCTCAGTCTCCAAGATTTTCTCTCTTCAGATACCAAATGCAAGCTCCAAGTGCTTCTGACCAACTGGCTATATATCAGGATTTCTACAACCCTTTCCTTGGATTAAAATTAATTTGCTACAGCAACTCACAGAGGAAAAAAAAAATCACTCTGCTTTTGTTTACCTATGGGTGTATGTATTTAGAGACAGGATTTGGCTAGGTCACCCAGCCGACCCTGAGCTTGGGAACCTCTTGCATCAGCCTTCCAAGTAGCTGGGATTATAGGCATGAACCACCACACTCAGATTTACCCTTTTATAACAAAACATATTTTAAAGAATACAAACAAACAACCAGATAAAAAGTTACACTAGGCCAAGGGTGAGGTGTAAAGAGTCCTGAGTGAGCACAGGAGCTTCCTTCTTTGTGAAGCTGCACTCCCAGTACCCCAAATCCTAGACTCTTAAGAGGTTTAGGCAGATATTTAGGGAAAAAAATTATTCTGCAAATAATTTGTCACACTAAGCCACCATTTAGAGAACAGTGGGAACACACCATAATCTAACCTTCACAGGGTCTTTCTAAGGACAGATGTATATCTCGGGCCTGCTGTGTTAACCTGTTTCTGCACAAGAGACTCACGAAGACAGACGGACAGCATCTTTGACAGCATATAAAAAAAGTGATAGTAATAATAATACCATATTTACTAAAAGTCTTCTAACTTTACTAAACACTGTCAAAATGACTTTAAGAGGATTATTTTAACCAGAACACTAACAGTAAGCAAACAGGATAAACCTAATTGGGGAAATGTCTATTTAAGAACCGCCTTTAGGGTTTCAAGAGGTAGGAGAAACTTGAAAAGAAGTGATTCACTGTAACAGCAAACAAACTGATGTGGAAAATTGCAAAACACATAATAATGAAGAGTTAAAATTCTCAAGTACAATTTCTCTCAAGTGCAAAAACCTTTCTAGAACTCAGGATGGTGAGCAAAATGAGGGTGGGGCATTCAAACAGGATATACAGACTCGTTTGCTCCCAAGAGTGCCAAGGCCTTACCATTTGGACCTACCTAACACTGCGATAGCCAACCTTGCCTCCTTTATATTATTTTCTAGTTTCTTTTATGATCTGGACCTACTTAGAATTGGAATTCCTTACTTTCTCTACACACTCTGTCAGGCTGTTGAAAGTTGGAGAGAACCTGTACAAGTTCAGATATTACCAGGAATTGGAAGGGATATACTTTCAAGGTACTTACCTGCCAATGTCTATGTGCCCATCTGGAAAATGGGAGAACAACTGTGGGTATTCWTAACTCTCAAGGTCTGCAATTATGAAAAGCCCTTTACACATTACAAAGTGTTACACAAATATATGGATTTTCAAATGGCTTGGAAAACTTCTCTATCCTGCTTTAGTTACAAGCAGATTCTCCACCTGCACACAGTCAAGGAGGAGTGTTTCTGGTCAGTAACAAAAGCTAATTCAACAGTAACTCTAAAAACATTTTTAAATTATACACTCCGGTAAAACATAAGGGTTATTGTTTAATAGGAGTCATTGCAAGGACCACTTTGTTGTGGAAGGAGGAAATGTAACAGACACAAGGCATTCCCACATTTCACCCAGTCAAGAAAGACCTAAGCCTCAATTAGTATCATGCTTATGTTAGGGGATTGGGACAGAAAGTATCAAACCCAAGACCCAAGAGGCTTCAACTACAGTGATAAAGAAATCATATGAGGGCTTGGGATGTGGCTCAAGTGGCAGTGCGCTTGCCTGGCATGYGTGAGGCACTGGGTTCGATCCTCAGCACCACATAAAAATAAAATGAAGATATTGTATCCATCTAAAACTAAAAAATAAAAATATTTAAAAAAAAAAGAAATCACATGAGCCGAGGGTTCCAGGCAAAAGCAACAGAAGACAAAACATGTGTGCTGGAAAGGTAAGGAGCTACACTACTGACAGGGTGAAAAAAAGAAGGCTGGGGAAATATACAGGAGTCAGGTGATGATAAAGAACTTAGGGTTTGTCGTGGGGCAACAGAAAACTTCGGCAAGGCTTTAAATATGAAAAAAAAAGATTTGTAGGTTAGATAGATGACATTCAAAGATAGGGGGAACTAGAAGATTACTGCAGTAATCAAATAAAACATGATATAGAACATGGACGTTAAAGATTGAGGGATTTTGAATTACTTTGAAGAGCAACATCAGCATCTAGAAATATAACTGATAGACAAAAAGCATGAAGGGCAGCCAGGGGCTGCTGTAAGAAAAGGGACAGATGAAACCTAGCTCCCACAAAAGTAACAATCTTTCTTCCTAGAGATAAGATAGATGACTAATAAAGTAGAGGTAATGGTGGGCAAAGAAAAGCCCTGAATTCAGTGTCAGATGACCTAAGTTCTACTCTGATAAGCCTGTGCACTTGAATCTGAGTGAATCCCTTTCCTTTCCTGATCTCAATCATCGCTTCTGTAAAATACGCACACCAAACCCTGCCATTTTTCTTTTCCAGGACGGCTGTGAGGCTCCAACTAGGCAATCTGACAAGTGTGCAGCACTGCAGGTGTTACTCTGTTAGCCCCATGAAGGCAGTGGCTCAGCTGTTTACTGTCTTGGAACTCCATGAAAATGAGGGTCACTCAGTCGCTTTTGGTTGGATGCATGAACAAGGTGCAGGTGCAGGCTTATTATTTAAAAGGGTTACAGCTCTAAAAACTTTATGCAAGGGCCACCCTGTGGCTGGTGAAAGCGCAGCAGGCAGAGGACAACTGAGGCATAGACAGGTACTGGATGGCACCTCCCGGCGGGGGTGGCATCAGCGAAGGAAAGACCGAAGCTGGGCAGCCGAGGCGCAGGGAGAAAGCCCAGGACCGCGGAATCGCTGTGTAGAAGGGCAGGACGAACCACAGGGCAGATTCCTGCCGGGACTGCAGGAGGATCTGCGCGCAGACGTGAGCGGAGTGGACACGACTCGGCCGCGCGAGCCCGTCTGGGGACCAGGGAGACCGAGAAAGGTAAGCGGAGAGGTGCAGGAGGAAGGGGAAGGCGCCGCCAGGGCCCGAACCTCCAGTGGCCGCAGCCGCCGTCGCCGGGTAGGGCCGGGCTGCCAGCCGGGCCTGACGCAGCATCAGCGCCCGCTGCCGCTTCCGCTCGATGCTCGCCCGCACCGAGGCAGGCAGCTCCCCCGGCTGCTCCGAAGCCGCCAGCTCCGGGGAAACACTCTCCGCTGCCGCCATCTCCGTCCAGCTCGGAAGAAAGCGGCCCAGCCCCGCGCTTGCGCATTGCTTAAGGAGGAGTGCCCACGGTCGGCTGCGACGCCGGCACCGCTTCYATGTCCCTTGACTGAGGGTGCCGCAGGAAGGAGGGCGCCTGCGCAGTTGAGGGGGCGGGGCTCAAGGGCGGGGCAGTGGGCGGGGTCTGGGCATGCGCGGAAGTCGGGACTACGTACCTGCCCGCCGGGACCTGCTAGGCAGGAAGTGGGCGTCCTCAAAGTCGGAGTTTCGCCTGGAGATTCAGAATGTGGGCTTTGCACGCACACCCAAAAGGTTAAGTCCCAGCACTGACACAACCTGTGGTTAATGATTATGGAACCATTTCCAAGGTCGTGGGGAAAATTAGAGGGCAGCACAATGGCTGGGACATGGAAAGCTTCAAACAGTGATAGCGGTTGATAGTAATGGAACCACTCCCAGAGACGGGTGGGTGAGTGATCGAACTCTATGTTGGACCCATGGCCTTATGTCTGAAATGAGAAGACATGATTCAGGTTTTCACTTGTTGTGTGACGTCAGCAAATGCAGTACCTGGTACCAAGGCTGGTATGCAGGAGGTAGGCTATCTTTTCTGATTTTTTTCCTCTGTATGGATGAGCTGGATGACCACATAGACAGTAGGTTTGGACTGGGGCCAAATACACTGACTTTCCCAAAGTGTGGTAAGTGGAACAAAAGAAACACAGCATGCTTTTTCAAGAATTTTGCTTTTTTCTTTTGACATAAAACTTAGTTAAAACCAGAAAAGATTATGTTCTAATCACTGCATACATCATTTAAGGCTAGTTTTTAGAGAGACCAATCTGACACACTAAGATTTTTCAACTGACACCCAAGGGTTAGAGTTTGAGAAGTCCAGCTGTTGTGATCAACTGCCATGTATATTATTACATACAGATATATATGTATATAGCTGAAGAACCTTGTAAAAATCATGTAGATATGTAGATCTTCTGATTGAACTGGAGGTAAAAATCTCAAGTCATCCTCATTCCCTTTCCCCTCAGATCCCTTTTAATTCCCATCTACTGACCTTGTCCGGGTTTAAAAAAAAAAAAATCTCAAATTCTATGACAACAAAAACACAAACAACAAAGAAAAAAATTGAACTTCATCAAAATTAAAAACTTTTTAGATACCTGATAAGGGTCTGGTATCCAGAGACGATTAATTCAAAACAAAAAAGTAGACATTCTTCCAAAAAGGATATACAGATGGCCAAGAAGCACATGAAAAGATATTCATCATTAGCCATTAGGGAAATTCAAATCAATTGCATAGGAGATACCACTTTTAGTATGACTAGAAATTAAAAAGGAAAAAATGGAAAATAATAAATGTTGAGGATTTAGAGAAACTACAACCTTCCTACATTGTTTGTGGGAATGTAAAATGATGGAATCATTGTGGGAAACTCTTTGTTCCTCAAAATTTTTAAATCTAGGATTACCTTTTGAGTCAGCAATTCCACTCTTGGGTGTATACCCAAAAGAATTAGAAACAGGTGTTGAAACAAAACTCCATGCAAATGTTCGAAACAGCACCATTTACAATAACCCCGAAGTGGAAACTACCTAAAATGTCCATCAACTGATGGATGGGTAAACAGAATGTAGTATATCCATACAATGGAATATTATTCAGCCATGAAAAGGAATGAAGTGCTGATGCGTGCTACAACATGATGAACCATTGAAAACATTATGCTAAGTGAAAGAAGCCATTCACCAAAGGCCACATATTGTATAATTTCATTTATATGAAACATTCAGACTAAGCAAACCCATTATGACAGAAAGCAGATTAGTGATTGCCAGGGCTTTGGGGGAGGGAGAAATGGAAGTCACCGCATAAAAAGTATGGTGTTTCCTTTTGAGATTATGAACGTGTTTTAAAACTAGATCATGGTGACAGTTGCACAAATTATGAATGTATTACATGTCACTAACAGTAAGTTTTATTTTCTGTACATTTTACCACAACAATAATAAAAATCCAAATTCTAAATAGAGCAAGGTAGATAACAGAAGTTAATGAACCTGCCAGGTCAGAAATTTTGGCAAACTGGAGTGTGAAGTTCCCTCTCAAAGCAGGTTGCTATTATACAGCTCCACCTGGTAGTTGCAGAGAGAGATTCTGGGCCCATTGTTGCCAGTTGTTTTTTTTTTTAAAGCTGCTTCTCAAAGTTTAATGCATATACATGTTACCTGGTAATCTTGTTAAAATAGATTCTGGTTTGGTAGGTCTATGGTGAGACCTGAGAATGGATCTTTCTAGAAAGTTCTACAGAAGACACTTTGAATACTAAGAGTCCAAATCAGAAGTTCTCCAACTTGGCTGAACACTGAAAGTACCTGGGGAGTTTTAAAAACACCGATGTTCAGGCCCCATGCCCAGAGGTGCTAATGTCACAGGTCAGAGTGGGGATCTGGGCAGAAGGATTTTGTAAAGCCCCACTCTCCTGAACCCAGGTAATTCTGATGGGCAGCAAACCTTGAGTGCAAGCACCTGACGTGACCTGTAGAGACAGTACACAGCTCTCAGTCTCTGAGGCTATGGAATATTTCTGGAGGCCAAGGTAACAGCTTCCCTCTAAGGTGACCTTTTAAGAATAGCCAATCCTCTGAGCTTTCTCCCTAGCAAAGCCTTCCAACTTGAATACGGGAGGACTCCTGAGCACAACTCGGACACTGCCCAGTCCCTGGCATTTTGTAATTCTTGGCAACCTGCTGATCTTCTTTGGTTGGTAACTCCCTCTTCTTTGATTTGGGGACCTTTGTTAGAGAGTTTCGTGTAACTGGATCCAAATTGTTAGCACAACCAAGCGAAAATGAGACTCCTTCTTTAAAGAAAGGAAGAGTGCGTGCCCCGATTTGTACATCTCACAGGGTGACAGAGGCTGGAAGGCTTGCCCAAAGCAAAGCAGCATGAGTCATTTTGGTGGGGGCACACAAGGAAAATGTGAACACAGTGAATGTTCATGCCTCTCCCCAGTCACAGTCTGGGGGAAAACCTGTGACTGCAGCTATCTTCCTGCTCTGTGCCTCTTTAGTCTCCCAGATCTGGGCTCCTGGCAGAAAGAAGTTTCTTAACAAAGAACAGGAAGAATGGAAATGCCCTTACTCAAGCCTAAAAGAGAGCAGGCAGGCGAGAAGGCGATCCAGGAAGGGGAACGAGAGACTTGGCAGGGTTTCCTGACAGGGCCTTCTAAGTGCATGTCAGGCTATTCATGCCTGAGATGACAGGGTGTGTGCACGCTTGTCTTTATTATCTAGAAAATGGTACGTGTGTGGCTTTCTGTTTTATTATTATCCACCCCCCTCCCACTTCCCTGGGGCTTTACTCCTTAATGTGGTCACTTTGAACATCATTGGCATCCATTCGAAATAGAGGAACATGTTTACGGAGGAACACACCAAGTTTTGTGGGGGTTCTTCTGGTTCAAGGACCCAGCAACAGATATTAGTTTGATGATTTAGGCCATCAAACTTGTAATGCAAAACGTGGTTGCTTTTTGCTGTGATCAACCAACAAACTTAGTTCCCAACTTCCTACACCCAAAAATAAAAGGATTGAGGCAAAAATATCGTAATGTGCAGAGAGACGGAGAAACCTCAAAGACTGACAAGGCTCATCTTTTCAAAAACAGTAAGGACAGGAATGGTCCAAATGATCCAACTAAGGACAGGGCCAAGAAAACTGATTCTCCATTCTGGAACTCAGAATCCTTCCTCACTCATAGACCAACAAGGCAGATCCTCCCCACTCTGCACACCCTTATCCTGTATAGGGCCCCAAGGACCTTACTTCACACTGCCTCTCCCAGGAAGCCTGCCCTGTCCCTCCTCTGGCTGTCTCTGTACCTCCTATATGCTGAAGTTGTGGCACTTAGCTCACCAGAGGTGAATCCTGCCTGCTGTCCTTGCTTGATTATCACGTCCTGAAAGCTGGGACAACCTGATTCATCCCACTGTCTCCAAGGTCTAGCATAGAATCTAGCGCACACTAGCTACTCAGTAAATGTTTGTAGCATTAAATAAATGCACAGAGTAATGTTGAATAAGCCTAGTTGTATGTCTCTCTAACACTGAAAACTCAAGGTTCAAAGCTGAATCTTGCAACCACCTTGTCCCTACAGTGACAGGAAATACTCCACTTTAAACAGGGCATGGTGGCGTACACCTGTAATCCCAGCGACTCAAGAGGCTGACGCAAGAGAATCACAAGTTCAAAGCCAGCCCCAGCAACTTAGTGAGGCCCTCAGCAATTTAGGGAGACCCTGTCTCAAAGTAAAAACTAAAAAGAACTTGGGTTGTAGCTCAGTGGTTAAGTGCCCCTGGGTTCAACCTCTAGTACCAAAAATAGCAACAACAACAACAACAACATCAACAAAAAGGAAACACTCTACTTTAGAACTGTCTGTCCCATTGACCATTATGGTAATAATAACAATAATAATAGCAAACAGTTTATAGGATGCTTACTAAATACAATATGGTTTTTAAGCATTTTATCTCAATTAATGTGATCCTTCTAACTACTCAATAAGTGTATTCACTCATCCCAGTTTATAGATGAGACAACTAAAGCACAGAGAAGTTAAGGAACCTATTCAAGCTCATACAGCTAATGAGTTCAGAATTGGTTGAGTAGGTGTGGCCCAGCTCCAGGATCAATATTCTCAACCACTAAATTACAAGTCTCTAAATTAGAACAAGTCTTCCTCCTACTTCTTCCACTAGGCTTGTCCTGCCTGGGCTGGTGCAGAGCAGGGGTCAGAACCAGGGCCTCGCCAATATCGCACGTGGCTAACCAAGTGGCTCAGGAGAAGACCGAGAGGCCTGTCTCTACCTGAAGCCTGGTCCTGGAGTGATCATTGCCGGTCCTGAGCTGGGCCCAGGGAGGATGAACCTGGTCCAGGGTTCACCTATTGTGGGATGAACTCCAATCCACATAATGGGGTTATAGGCTTGTGGCTTCCTGTTTCTTATTACCCCCAATTGGGATTTTCAATTACCTTTATAACACGTGTGGTTGCAACTTCAAACCACAAACCACTTTTATTGCCAAGTGCTTCCTC